TGTCCATGAAACCTCAAGTCTGTAAAGAGGAGTATTTGGCTTTGGGGAAGAGCAGAGGATCATCATGGCCACTAGAGTGTCCAAAAAGAAATGGAGAAAAAGTACTTCGCCAAACCCTGAGTGGGCCTTTTTTATAGCTGTGATCTGGGAAGAAACTCACATATACCTTAAGTAGTCCCAGAACAGATTCCTAGTCTATACCAGACGGTGTAGGTCAGGGCAGAAGCAAACTGTCATTTCACATACACTGTCCTCGCTTGCATGGAGGTTCCTGATGTATCATTTAAATGAAGTCTTGACAGTGTAGACTAGGGAACAGGCTTTCCTGCTTAGAAGTAGGGAACCAGAGTCCTTTTAGAGTATACTATCGGGGCAGTACTATTTGTAAACATGAGAAGAGACAGAGTTGAAAAACTCAAAAATGCCATATTGTGTCAGACTAATGGCTGACTCCACTCAGCACTGGCAATCAACTTCTACCCAGTCTTCCTATGTGACCAACTTCTAGTACAGGAAATATGTATCACCCACTGACATACATGCTCCACATTCCGGCAGTGAGTGCTGCCTAGGGACCAAAGAAGTCCTTTTCCCCCTGGTGCTGCTCAGGATTTCCTTCTGTTCTGATCTAGACCTTACGCTGCAGTCAAAAGGCCGGTAACAAAAGGGGAAGGAAAAATACCTGCCTTTGTTCTTCAATCACCTACTCCTTTCCGTCCAATCATCTTCCCTGCTTTAACACCTCAGCAGGGAAGAGGAAATGAGAAGATCTGATCACTGCTCCTCCTAACTCCTGTAAGCCTTCATCCTACCTCCCACACCCCAAGTCCCTGACCTTGCATGGCATTCTTCAGGCCTCAACAGGCTTCGTGCCTTCTACCTACTCAAGTTCTCAAATCGTTTTCATAGGAATGTATGCTTCATCTTTAATAACTGTTTCACACAATGCAGTTTTAGAACATAACCCTTTCTTAGGCTGGGGGCAATGACTATTTCTGACAATAACTCCACCAGGTGTTCCTTGGGGAAAAAGGTGGAGTTCACCAGTCCCAACCTAAACAGGTCTTATAAAGGTATACCCAACAACTCTGGCTTGCCCTATAAACTAAAAATGTCTTTTACCATTTATAAAGTATTTTAAAAAGTATACTCTCAACCCTGGCTGGTGTGGCTCAGTGGATTGAGTGTTGGCCTATGAACCAAAGGGTCGCTGGTTCAATTCCCAGTCAGGGCACATCCTTGGGTTGTAGACCAGGTCCCTAGTAGGCGGTGTGTAAGAGATAAGCATGCAGTGATATTTCTCTACCTCTCTTTCTTTCTCCCTCCCTTCCCCTCTGTCTAAAAAAGAAAGAAAGAAGAAAGAACCTTTATTAATAATTATACTTTCACACCTTAGAACAGCAACTTCTACATATTTACTACCAGTAATGCAAAACAAAACATGTAACTATCATAAAAAAAACAAATCGGGTAGTGTCCCTTAGTTTTGATTGCTAAAATCCATAGAAACAATAAGCTTCAAAATAATGACAGTGAAAATTCTTTAATTATTTTGAGGGCTTCAATCCTTACGATTTGTTCCTTTTGTAAGGAAACCCTAAGATATCCATCATCTTTATAATCACACATATAAAAGTCATTTTATGTTTTAATTCTCCCACCCAAATCTGCAGTGTTATAAACTTTGTTGTGGACTTTCTAGTGTATAACTTTCTAGGTTCCAATGAGCCCAGCTTTGTTCTCATAGTTCCTGCCACTCAGATAGAACATGAAAGGTGTTGGTACCGTGCCTCAGGAATTAAGAAGAAATGGTGAAGTATTTTAAATACCTGTGTATTTCCTCCACTAACATATAGCACAGTTGGGTTGGTGGCTCCAGTGATGAGGCAGCCCATCTCAATGTGGCCTATACAGTGGTTCACACCTAGCAATGGCTTATTCCACAGCTGAGCCACAGTACGGGCCACAACAGCCACGGAAACCAGTGGGGCACCCATGCCAGGGCCTAGAGAGAAAGGGGAATTAGAATCCTTTAGAGATTGGGAAAAACAGAGCTGGAGGAAGCAGGGGGTGTGAGCGGTGGGGTGGCAAAGACGGACTACGGACTATTCTGACATAGCCAAGCTCTCAGTACACTCTTCTACTCTCCACCACTCACCCAGCCATACCTTTGGTGTAGGCAATGCAGTCAATATCCTTGGAGGTTAATCCAGCCTCTGTCATCGCCTCCTGCAGAAGGTCCAGGATAACAGCTCGGTGGTGTCTGGCAGTATCACCTGGAAGAAATCCTAGGAGATAAACACAAGTCAGAGATCACAAATTTTTCTGTAGCAAAGGTAGGTAGAAATCCAAGACAGGTGTTTTAGTAGTAGTAGCTTCAGCTCTCCTCAAGCATCCTTTCTTCCAGGACTTCAGATACTATTTCTAACCTGTTCAGCTAGGCCTGAACAGCCCCTCAGAAATGCCTTTCTTCATACTCCTACTCAGCCTTCAGGACTCAATAGCTCATACCCTTCGGTGATTTTCTGTGACCCTACAAACCCTCTGCATTACCACATTGCTGTTTTTTAACAACTGTATTTAACCATGTCTAGTATTTTCATTGTGAGCATGTCTGTTGTAACATCTCTGCTGTATTTCCTCCACAAAAATTTTTGTGACACAACTAATAGGCCTTAAGGCAATTTCAAAATTAAAAAAATAAATAAATAAAAATAAAAGGACATTGAAACATGAAAATAACAAAAAAATTTTAAAAACTTTATTGTAAAAAATGAAAATACATTGTCTTTTGTTCATAGTATTGTACATTCTTTTCCTTTTTGGCCTGTTGATTTCATCTCCTTATTTGGCATCACATTTTTTTTCACTATAATTCCTCCTTCATTAAAGGAGGTATCAGTTTCAGCTAAAGAAATTGGTAATTAATGCTCTCAAAGACCGTTGTGAGTCCACCTCTTTTATGTTTGCCACTGCTTGGGAAACTTTGGTTTTGATGGGTGGAAGGGAAGACCGTGCTCACAAACCATTTGCAAACAGGTAAGTTATTTTCTAGGAGAGTACGCAGTCTGGCTTCCATACAGCTGTGCAATCTGGCACAGTTGTCATCATCCACTATTTTAAGACTACCACATCTACTCATCACTGTTGAAACCATTATGAGAACTATGATTTATTTAATATAAAAACAGGCAACTTCCTCAACAGAGAAATGAAACCAAACTGTCAACCAGTGATTTTAATCTTTTACAGAGAAATTGCCTTGTGGTCAATTACTTGTGCAGTGAAAATGCTTTGGTCAAAAATACCCCAGGGCTGTATTTAACATGTCACAATTACATCCTCATAATTAGCTATAGTTTCCCCAGTTTAACCCTGAGCATTTCAAATCATTGGCTATTTTATTCACCTTTGTATTCCTGAAGCCAAAACGCCTGTTAGAGCGACTGTTAAACATACATATATTTCTACTGAGTAACTTGTCACAACATCACCTGTGCAAGTCAGATGCATACATATACACACACACAAGTGTTTTGGGGGAGGATAGGCATGATGAATCATAACATAATAGTTACTAAAAGTTTTAGCCCTGGCTGGTGTAGCTCAGTGGACTGAGCACGGGCCTGTGAAGCAAAGGGTCACTGGTTCAATTCCCACTCAGGGCACACCCCTGGGTTGCAGGCCAAGTCCCCAGTAGGGGACACGTGAGAGGCAACCACACATGGATGTTTCTCTCCCACTTTCTCCTGCCCTTCCCCTCTTTCTAAAAATAAATAAAAATTTTAAAAAAGTTTTAATACAACTGGTACTTTAATTGCTAAGACCCACGGATACAGGTATTGTTCCCATTTTAAGAGTAAATAAGCCCCAAAACATACACTGAACATTAATATTGCGAAGCCAGCCAGTTCTGTCTGATATCTAAACTGGGAGTCTCTACACTCATTCTAGAATATTTTGACTGCATCTATATGTTATGTTATACTATTTATCATAGTGTAAAGTTCTGTATGCAACTATTTTTATAGCCAATAGCAAGCTGGCTGACTGATTAGTAGGAGCTCAATATACGCTGAGGAACCCTGAAAAGCGAGGTCTAAGTGCCTGTAACTCTTCTATCAATCGGCTTTCTGACGTTAATAAACGTCACAGACACTAGAATCAAAACCTCCGAGCGGACAATACGCTCCACGCCCTAGTTCGCTTGTGTTTAGTAAGAAAGCAGATAATGCTGAGCGGGAGAAGCGAGCTGCAAACTGTAAGTTCCTTGCTCACCTGTGCCCGGAGGCGTGACGTAAGTCCGCCGCGGGTTTGCCAGGACCTTGCCATCCCGAACCACTCCAACGCCAATCTTGTTGGCACTGCCTTCAAAACCCAGTACCGTTGGCATGCCCAAAGCTGGGAGAGAACACCAGCAGGGCTCCTAGCTACCACAGCAGTCGTGGAATCCTCACCAGTTCGTGCTGAGAGCAGATGCCGGGGTGCAGAGGCAGAGGATGAGCCAGTACTGCTCGGTGGCCGAGCACGCCCGGACTAGCCGCCCAGACCGAGACCAACTCCTGTGCGTAAGCGCTAGCCCGCCTCCGTCGTCAAGGGGACCCTTCAAGGCCCCTTCAAGGACCTGTCTTACTAACTGCCTGGGACGCTGCGCCAGGATCTGTTTCTTACATTCCTAACCATTTCTATCCATTCCTTTGCCTCTCTCCGGTGGTCTAGCACAAACTTCTTCACTGATTTTTTTCTCTCTTGCACAGCACCGGATCTTCAGATTGGGAGGCAAAAGGAGTCGTTCAGCTGGCACACCAACAAACAGTCCAAGAATGGAGGGCTGGGGCCTTCAGTACAGAGGCGTCTGAGAAGGGAGGGGTAGGACAAAGTTCTCCGTCACGTGGGCTTAGACAGACTAATCACCTGCATTCCTCCACTAGGCGGTGCTACATCAGATCACGTGACCACGCCCGTTACCCACGTGGGAGCACAGCGTGCTCCATTCTTTGTGCTCGGTCAGGAAGGATCCTCGCTCCAACTTTAGTAGGTCACATACTGGCCTGCTCTTCTTTTCCACATCAGAAGGGCTTCTTTGGACGTCTGATTGGCTAGCGTAAGCGGGACCCTTAATTAAGGGCCTCAGTTAGCCTGAGGGAAAATCTCGCGATTAGAATATACAGATCACTATGAAATGATTTAGTGCTGTGGGTGAGGGGCTAGAGGATTTACGGTGCGTGGAGGCGGGGAAGGAGTTCAGAGATAATAACGGGTCATGCAGGAGAGGAGTCTTTTGCCCAGCTCTGGCTGATTGCACTATTTATTTGCGTTTGTAAGGCAACACGGTAAAAATACTGCTTTGCTGGGTGACGTGGTGCAGGAGGGCATTCGTTACAGTGATGCCGAAGCGTGGGAAAAAGGGAGCGGTGGCAGAAGACGGAGAAGTGCCCAAGACTGGTAAGAGTGAAATGATTCCCCCTCCCTGGAGGCTGCGACGGTGGGTGGTGCTTTCCTCGCTAAACGAGAAGCACGGACCGACGCAACACATTTTTGCAGTTTGTGAATGAGTCGAAGCAACTGCAGGCTCTCAGTGGGTCTGTAGTTAACCCCGGATGAAAAGTTGGATACCGCCAAGTTTTATCACTATCACTTCTTTTATAGAGCCAGAGGCCAAGAAGAGTAAAGCGGGAGAAGGAGCAAAGAAAAACGAAAAAGAGGCAGCAGGAGAAGGGTCAGTCTTGTATGAGGACCCCCCAGATAAGAAAACCTCACCCAGTGGCAAATCAGCCACCCTCAAGATCTGCTCCTGGAATGTGGATGGGCTTCGAGCCTGGATTAAGAAGAAAGGTTTAGATGTGAGTGGAATTCAAAGAGGGGGAAGAGATATTATTATATAGTATTGGATCATCTTGGGGTTTAATCACCTTTCCCATTTTAGTGCCCAACATATAGGTTTTATTTTTCCCACGTTTATAGTTTTCTTGGGGGAGAGGTACAAGGAGGGGCTTCATCAAGTCATACCAGCTGTTCCCTGTCCATCCATTCCATTCCCTTGTCATAAATGTTTGATGTCCTCATCGCTTCCCCAGCAAGTTGAAAAAAATCTTCTGGTTCAATTTTCTCCTTTTAATCTCTGGCATATTCTGTTTTTAAATAAGTAGCGCTTACATAATGTAATATACAAATGATGTAGAATTGTACACTTGAAACTTAATTTAAATGATTGGTGTCATCCCAATAAATCTAATAAAATTTAAAAAGAATTAACTATGCTTAAAGAACTTAGCTATTTACTGCTATAGAAAAAACACAATCTCCTCGGGGTTACATGTAAGTCTGATCTCTTTCCATTAGTTACCAGTTAACAAAACTGTGCTACCAGACCCTTAAACTTACACACAGGGACTGTCTCCTGTGTATCTCTAGCACTTAGCACAGATTTTTAAATGTCAGCTGAACTGATACTTTTTATACTTTTCATTTCACTCAGTGGGTAAAGGAAGAAGCCCCAGATATCCTGTGCTTACAAGAGACCAAATGTTCAGAGAATAAACTACCAGCTGAACTTCAAGAGCTGCCCGGACTATCCCATCAGTACTGGTCCGCTCCTTCAGACAAGGAAGGGTACAGTGGCGTGGGCCTACTCTCTCGCCAGTGCCCACTCAAAGTCTCTTATGGCATTGGTGAGACCCTACTGATTACTTATGCCTAAGCTCTTCCAAACCACTTACTAATATCCCATTCCAGTCCCAATTCTGATTATTTTCTACTTTCCCTTTTCTTAATATTTCTTTATATTGATACTGTTTCATCATTTCTGCAGGCGAGGAGGAACATGATCAGGAAGGCCGAGTGATTGTGGCTGAATATGATGCATTTGTGCTGGTAACAGCCTATGTACCTAATGCAGGTCGAGGTCTGGTACGCCTGGAGTACCGACAGCGCTGGGATGAAGCCTTCCGTAAGTTCCTAAAGGGCATGGCTTCCCGCAAGCCCCTCGTGCTATGTGGGGATCTCAATGTGGCTCATGAAGAAATTGACCTTCGCAACCCCAAGGGAAACAAAAAGAATGCTGGCTTCACTCCTCAAGAGCGACAAGGCTTTGGGGAATTGCTGCAGGCTGTGCCACTGGTTGACAGTTTCCGGCACCTCTACCCCAGCACAGCTTATGCCTACACCTTTTGGACCTACATGATGAATGCTCGATCCAAAAACGTTGGTTGGCGCCTTGATTACTTTTTGATGTCTCATTCTCTGTTACCTGCATTATGTGACAGCAAGATCCGTTCCAAGGCCTTGGGCAGTGACCACTGTCCCATCACTTTATACCTAGCACTGTGATACCTCCCCCAAATCATTTTTAGCCTGGGAAATAAGCCTCCTAAACTAGCTTTAAAATGTCTTTGCTCTCTAGAGAATTCTGCACTGGGATTTACTTTCTAAAAATATGAATCCTCCCTAGTGACATGGGTTTCCTTTAAGCCCAAGGTTTTGTGGGTTTGTTTTTTGTTTTTTGGTTTTTTTTTTGCGTGAATGAGTTTTTTTCTTTTTTTAACATTAAACAAAAGCTGCTGGTGATTTCCTTTGACCTGTCAGAGTGAAAATAAAGAGCCATAGTTTCAGTCTTGTTGTCTTTGTATTCTAGTCTTCTGTATACAGAGTTCAATTCCCCTCATACATAGAGATTAACAACTAGAAAAGGGTAGACTTGTGACCTTATTTATTTACAAGCACAGGATGAGTCCCTTACCCTCCCCCAACACAACAACCCTACCTAGCCCAGTGAAATACAACTGGGGGTAAGGCTGGGAGGAGGAATTAAGGGAAACAGGACTAGGGGAACATCCCATATTAAATAGTTATATACACAACAGTTCCTGTGGTTCTGTAGAGCAGCAGCTGACCCCACCCCATAGGACACGGAATGCGGGGGGAGGAGACAGTACTGAGGCCAGAGCCAGCCCCCCAGTGAAGTGCAATAGCAGCAAGGTCCTAATGGTGCACAAGAGGGAGGGAAACCCCCAGGGCTACCCACCCCAACCCTGCCCTGGAATGTGTAAGGGACAGGCATGGCTCTCAGGGAGCATATAGGAAGGACAAGGCGAAAACCGTCTTTCAAGGCCCAGGTTTAAGAGCAACATTTCACCTATTTCACCCTAAACACAGCAACCCTTGGAGGAAAGCAGATGGCCAGCAATGGTCTTACCTACCCCTCCAACCTTGGGTGAGGGCCTGGTTCCCTCCTACCTCTCCCCAGGGAAAAGGAAGGCAGCTGCTTGGCTCCTCCTAGAGAAGCCCAGGAAGCCTTTTGTCATGGCTCCCTTTGTAGTGTCACTGTCCCCACCAGGAAGGGGCCAGGCACAGTGCAGGTCATCGTGGCGCTCAGGAGAAGTTCTGGACAGGGTGGCTGACCTTCATACAGGCCCAATAGAGAGCACGTCCCAAACACAGCACAGCCAACAGAATGACAAATGCCCAGGCTGCATAGATGCCTCCATATCGCTGTGCATGCTTCCATGTCCCAAACTGACAAAAGAAAAAAGAAGATGGGGTTACTGTCATCTCCCCATTCTCTAGGAGCCCTGGGAGCAGTAACCCGACTCCAGCTTCAGTCCCCATTCCCTATCCATGTGCAGTCGTCTTCGGTGACCCGCTGAAAGGCCTAGTTGTTCGGTTTCCTTCCCCTAGGCGGGAGCATACTCACACAGTCCCAAACCTGTCCGTTTTTATTACTTAAAAAAAAAAAAAAAATTCCTCGCCCAAGGATATGTTTATTGACTTAAGAGTGAAAGGGAGAGATAAAGAAAAAAAGAACATTGATGTGAGAGAGAAACATGGACCGGTTGCTTGCCTCCCGTATACTGCCCAACTGGGGATCAAATCCCCAACCTGCTGGTGTACAGGATGACACTCCAACCAACTGAGCACCCGGCTAGGGCTGTCAGTTTTTCTTAATATCTTACAATTACACCAGGTTTCCTAAATATCAACTCCTAATTTAAGCCACTTCTCCATTGTTACCCTCTGCAAAAAGAAGATGGCTGGTTTTTTACTCCTATAGTCACAATGAAGACTTTATCAGTTACCTGCAACTTCAGGTCATCTATACATTCAACAAGAAATAAGCAAAATGCCCTTCATTTCTCTCCCCCTTTTAAGCTAGCCATTTTCAAATCTTAGCTTATGTAGATGATGCTGAAGAATGAAAGGCTGGATCACAGTTACTCACGGCAAGTCCAGTGGCAGTGACTGCCAAGAGTAAGCCAAGCAAGAAGCAGCAGACACATCTCTTTCGTGGATATCTGCGCCCAATAGACGACCTGTAGGGAAGCAAACAAAAATGTATGTTTGAAATGCCCTTTAATTTTTACTCTACATATTACCCAGTTACCAACTCAATGATGCCACTCTCTAATCACTTACACTTTCCTGCAGTGAGGGCAACGGGCCAAGGTTCGGTCTGTGAACTCTGTCCACTATGGAGAAAGAAAAAGGGAGACACCAATTAATAGTACAAGCAGTCTCATCTTCAATAAGAGTCCTGAGGTAGGGGAGGGGGGGATGGGCTCTGCTGGAACAGGCCTGTTCAGAATTCATTATCATAAATCAGAAGTATATTCATGATTCCTCCTGAATTCTGCCCCCCCCTCCACACAGGGCTTCCCAATACCCCTCCTCACCAGGAAAGTATTCTTGCAATGTCCACAGATGACCCTGACACCCACGGGTTGTGGTTCTGGACTCAGAGGTCCTGGATGCACAGGCCCTAGATTAATGATTCTTTTGCTGTGCAAGGAAAAGACTATATTTTAAAAGTTTTTAATCCTAAGGACCCTTACACTATCCCTCCTTCATAGCCCCTGCTCCCTGCCTCATAAAGTTCCTTTACTTCTCTGTACATTTAACGTATTCTGCTCAACACTACCCTAGAATCCTTGAGGAGCACTTTTATCTCAGGATAACTAACCCAATATCTGAAACTCTCCATCTTCCTAAAGTATATCATTTCATCCAATCTTTTTACTGAGAGATGAGAAAGATGGTTATAACATGCTAGAGGCACAACAGACCTTAGCTTTTTCTCCTAAGTAAATACCAGGCTCTCTCACCTTGACATTCTCTACAAACATTCATCCTCTATGAGCCCATAGAGGCTCCAATTTTCCCCACAGATGCCCTCCCCTACCTTATGCCTCTTACCAGTAGGGACGAGGACAGGCAATCCGCTGAGAAGTCACTTTGCAGATAAGGAGACAGTTACAGGGGCATCGAACATATTTTTTCCCTAGGGGTGCATTCTTGATTGGCTAGAGAATAATGGGAATATCGGTAAGCAAACCTCAAATCTCAATCCCTTTCATTTCCTCCAAACCCCTTCTGAGGAGAGATGAAATAGATAAGATTTTGCCAGGACAGAGAAATGAAAGAAAGGCATACAGCATGAGACTGGCAAATGAAACCTTGGCTTAAGTAGCTGGGATAGGTAGGAATGTGAGGGATGGTAAGCATTAGCTTTGGTGAGTGGTGTGTGGGGAAATGTCTGTATGAGACACCTGGACCTGAAATCTGAGTTTTATGAAGAATGCTTGGCTGAAGGTCAGAGTTTAAAATCAAAGAATCAGAAAGAGGATGCAGGAAACCGGGCCCATATATATAAAACTCACCGTGGCTTCATTGCAGACGCCACATTTCACTACATGCTGATGCATCTTGCCTTCTACATTGATGACAGACTGGCAGACTCGGCAGGTGATCCTGGGGGCACTCCCACTGTCTGGGCTGGTCAGGGGTGAGTAGGGGGGTGGGTCCTCCCCAGGCAACACGGCTGGGTGTCCCTCCGGGAACGGGGGAAATGCTGGGTGTGGGGGAGAGAGAGGTAAAAAGAAGAGCTGGCATCCCTTGCAGACACCCCCACTGATGCTCCACAGGGTCAGGGGTCTCCTTCTGGTCCTCAACCCTGCTGACCAAATTCTGCGGGCTTCTTACAATCCGTGCTTCAATCAGCTTCCTCAGAAACCCAAGCTTCGGAGGGACTGAGGACGAAAGCAAGCCTCACCCTGTCACACAGGTGCAACAGCACCGCACCTGGAGCTTGGGCCCCGCCCTCTGCCCGCGGCCCCGCCCCTTCCCACCTCTTAGAGTACCCCCGGGAACACCTCCGACCCGCCCCGGCTTACCCTGGGGCGGGGCATGTTTACCGGCTCCGTACGGTGGTGCGGAGGGGGTCAGGCCTCCCCCGGGCCCAGGCCCACTCCCGCCTGGCCCCGCTAATCCGTTGCCACCGGCGCCACCGTCGATAGGCTCAGAGAGCAGCGGGGATCGCTCTCCATCAGCCGCCATGGTTGCCACCACCGCCTTCAGCTTCGGCCAAGGATCAGGCTCCCGTCACCGCAGCCACAGCCACCGCCGCTACCGGGTCCCCAGGGCGCCTGCGCCCCGCGCGCCCAGCTACCCCGCAACCAGAGGCTTGCCCCTCCCTGGTCCCTGGTCCGTCCCACCGCACGTGACAGGCTATCCCCGCCCCCACTGGGTTATCGTTTGCGTGGAGACACCAATTCCTGGGCCTGTGAAGGCAGCTTTTCTGTACCATTGGGGGGCGTCGCTATAACGTCAACTGTCACATGGCCTTCCGCACGGCCGCCGGCCTTGCCAAACCTGCACGTGACAAGACGTTCAGCGAGCTATTGGAAGCGTGGCCCATGGCGCTACCTCCAGACCAGAAGGTGGGGCCCGGCTGCCGCGGCTCACCGGTCACGTGTCAGGAAGCCGCGAGCCCTCAGGCATCCAGAGCAGGACCAATTGCTCCTCATTGGTCCAAAGACACTATTAAAAAAGTTTTCTCCCTCTTTGAGATTATGATTGATGTCCCATTGGCTGGAGGCTTCCTCGCCCCCTTCCCCGGTTCCTATGACCCTCTGGGTGCACGTTTATTGGCCCGAATTTAGCGCCAGAACTTGAGGGCGTGGCTCAAGAAGCCGGCTGTAGCAGAGTGTGGGCACTTAGGATGTTCTGAACAGCTGTAGGAGGATGGGTAGACAATTCTTAGCCACTCTGCTCAAAGAAATACCTGCAAAAAGTCAACATAAAGCTATACCGAGAGGAAATGGGTTAAAATGTTAAGATGATCACTCCAGCCTTTCATTCTGGAGTCACTTCTAGAATAGGACACAGACTGGCTTCTCTAGGAAGCTGGTCTGCAGACTTCACCTTTCTCCCCATCCTTAATTAAATTGTATTTATCTTTTTATGAGTCTGACTCTACCACTTAAAGGAGATCTCAACGTTTTATTAAATTTTATGATCTCCCACCCCATCCTAAACACATCAGCACAAGTGGTTTTTTTTAATTGAGTTAAGCACATCCAAGGATATTTTTGTCAACTCATTTGGCACATGAGACAGTCTTGAGACTAAAGATTCAATTTTGTCCCCAGCCACGACGCTGCAATGGAGGTTGCTCTGACAAGTATTGGAAAAGATGTTAAGCAGTGCAGTCATTTAAACATACGGCCAATCCACCTATCCACTCTCTTGTTCATCCATATTCATCCAAACAACTTGTACAGCAGCTAAGATTACTTTTCAAACCTTAATAGGTGCTTTACAAAATGGGTACCCAGGA